TGTCAAGCAGCCCGAGGAACGCGGTTGTGACGAAGAAGATCGAGAAGGTGTTGATCTTGTAGAGCGCGGCCCAGCCCTCGATGTCCTCGTTCGCGAAGAGCGCGAGCCCGAACGTGTCCGCGTCCTTACGCTCCGGCGCCTGCGGGTCGTTCATGAAGCCCGAGCGGGGGCCTGTCTGGCCGGCGCTAGTGGGGAGGGGGGACATGTCAGAGCGGCTTGCAGGAGGAGAGGAGAACCCACTTGTTCACGAGAACGTGCAGACGCCCATCCTTCTCCTCGACCTCCTTCCGCGCGTACATGATGCTCTCCTTGTCCGTCGCATCCATGGCCAGCCTGCGTACATCCAATCAACACTAGCCCGCCGTCCACTAGTGAACAGCACTCACGGCACGAGCGACCCGTTCTCGCCACTCGCCTTCCACTCCCCCGCCACCTTCTCCAGCACCTCCTTCCGCCTGCCCGTAATATACACCTTCGCGCCGTGCTCGTCGACGCGCTCGGTCTCAGCGCCGGGCGGCTCGGCGAGAGCGGGGACTTGGGCGTCGGCGTCGGCGGGGGCGGGGGCGCGGGGACCGGGAGCGCGGGAGACGGCAGAGGGGACGGGAAGGCGAGCACCGACGCGCCCGGCGAGAGGTTCGCGAACGGGTCGTCGGGCAGCAGGTCCCCGGACGGCGGCGAGCTGCCCGGCTGCGGCGCGGGGAAGGGCAGGTCCACCTCGCCGTGGTGCACCAGGTCCGCGTAGGACGACGCGAGCGAGGACGAGGACGGCTGCCGCGCGTGCGCGGGCCGCGGGCGCGGGCGCGGGACTTCGGAGAACGCGCGCGTGCGGGAGGAGAGCGGGGGGTCTGGCCACGCGGGGTCGCGCTGCCTCGGCGCGGTCGTGGGGGACTGCGGCTGGGAGGAGGAGAGGAATTTGGAGGGGACGAAGATCGACTGCAGCGAGGGCCGCTTTTTCGGCATTTTGGGGAAGGAATGTGTGCTGGGTGAAGGAGCGGTGGATGGGCGGCGGCGCCGTTTGTACAGCGAGGCGAAAGGAGCGTAGCTAACCTATGCCGGAGGGGGTGATAGTTAGCCACTGTCCAAAGGCGCGTCCGACACCCATAGGGAGTGAAACTTGGCATTATACAGGATATGAATGAATGGCTCTCCCCAACGAAATCTCGCCCAATACAAAGGGCGCGTATTACGCGTAAGAAGATCAGACCCTGACCGTCATGACGCCGGCATTACTGCCGGTCTCCGGAGCTGTATCCGCACTGTGCAGTGTTGTGCCGGTCGACCGTCGACCGTGGAAATAGTCCACCGGAATGATCCGCGATCGCGAGCCGCGCGCCAGAGCATGTCTCAGCCAATCGCGTGCCAGCCTCTTGCCGGTCATTCGGCAAAGGGAACCACGGCGCCATCGACTGTCTCGAATAAACAACCCTGTAGCATACTATTCCACCCAGATGTACAGTGAAACTACATAGCCAATACAGCACCTGCAGCATCATCCAGTGTGAAGTCTGCCTCCACTTCCTCCCCCTCAGCATCCAAGTCCAGTAGTTGGTACAGCTCTAGTTCATCATCAAGGCTCCGACGAGGCTTCTCGGCATATTCTGCAGTCCAGTATTGAGTAGAGAAGTCGAAAATTTCAGTTAGTTTCAATGAAATCTTGGATGGATATGGGGTCTCTGTGTCCTCTGTGTCCTCCTCGATCATCTGCTCAAGTGTTGCAGCAATATTCCTGATAGTATTGTGTCGTTCTGCACCCTCCAGGGACTGGGAAGTTGTAGCACCAGCAGGGTCATCTGTAGGTGTTGAGAATGCTGGTCTTGGTGCAGAAGGTGGTATGGGTTCTGATCCAGAACCAGAAGCATCTTGGGAAGGAGGATGGCCAGGGTCCATAGCCTGAGGTGGTGGTCTTGCACCCCCGAGATGACGCTTGAGACGTTGCTGTACATCATTTCGCACATGCTCGTCACGGAGATGCATTTTCAATTCTGCCAGTGATAGCATGGTCTTCTCCCCAAGTCGGTTCCGTAACTTTGTGAGGATGAGTCCGAAGGTGCTGAACAAACGCTCGCATGATGCAGAATTGGCACAAATGGACAGGATATGGTTTGCTAGCTTCACCAACGGTGATGGCTCTGAACCTGCATAAGAGAACCCTTTCCATACATTCAGAGGGTCAGGGCTCTCTCCCTGTTGCAGCATAAATATTTATAGAATGTATGGGTATTGAAAACTCACTTTTAGGTATGCACCAGCTGCAATCTGGCTTGAGTATTCTGCAAGACCATCATAAGTATTCCTATCTTCCATATATTCCATCAGCTCTGTGTTCAGGGTGCTTGGTGTATTGCAAGAAAAGAATCGGGTCCACAGTCTTGACATCAGCATATAGATGCGGGCATTATTGAAGATGGCAATACGCTGAAAGGGCTTGGTCTTATAAAAGGGGTTAAGAATCACAGCTGCAATGAAAACATCCTGGTCCGCCTTCTCCCACCGGCGTTCAAGGCTAGAGACAATCACCTCAACAACTGTCTTGTCGGCAGGATCAGTCATGCTTGAGTACTGCATGACAAAAAGACCAAATGTCAATAGCACTTGATCCAAGCGACAGTGTGCTGCTTGTGTGATGTGTGCCGCAATTGCAAGTGGTTCAAGATGATTTTTGATCCTGCAAATCAAACGATGAGTAGGCAATTTCATATATTTGTTGTCATGCATACCTTGCGAGATGATGCCAGAACAAGCTGTTCTTGATGATGGGAATCATCTTTTCTGTCTTGGCACGAGAGACAGCATCACCTGATGCATATAGTTGCGGGTGCTCTGCAAGTAGTTCCAAGGATGTCTTCACCTCTAGAAGACGACGGTATGCCAAATAATGAGCCGTCCAGCGTGTGAGTACAGCTCTGATGATTGTGAGAGCCTTGCCATGAGGCATCTGCAGTTGAATGTCACGGAGAAGGACCAGGAGGAAAGTGCGACTCCGCAACCATGCAATTACTTCATTAGCCATGTCAGCATATGTGAAAAACCATTCTGATGACTTGAAATAGTCGCCGACAACAAGGTTAATCTGCAAATAAGTCAGCAAGTTATCATAACAATTTCCTGAAATTTCTGCATACTTGATGAGCGTAACAGTCAGGAGTAACCAGTTGTGGTCTCTCAAGGAGGAGCTTCTTCCTTGCACTCCTGGATTCTCCACTACAATCTGATGTCACTGCTACCACTGTAACACCCCAGTCCCGCTCGGCAGTTTGGATAACTTCACGGAGCATGAGCAAAAGATTATCTGCATTTTTCACCTGATTGGTAGTATCATCAAGGGGCCAACGGCCAGAAAACGCGCGACGGCAACCCCCTAAAGTGAACAGGACCCTGAAAGCATCACATAAGAGAGAGGACCACCTTGATAAGGCAATTTGTGGCGGCTCCTCTTCTGCCTGGGTTTATGTTTTGTGTGGTCGATTGTCGGGAATCAACAAGCCTCTGTCATCCATGTACACATAGGTAATAGCTTATAACTACTTATATATATCTTTGATCCCTAAGATCACATTGTTCAGTGCTGAAAGATCCCAAACACTTCTCAGTCGATGATATTTCTGCACTGACTCAGACATACAGGAACACCTCTCTACTTCCTGATGCATAAGACTGGTNAACAAAC